CGCCGGATACGTACCGGTGCTGTTGGCCCGGGTGTGACAAGTCGTACGCGCGGAAACAGTTCCTCATAACCCACGAACAAACGGTGCATAGGCTGGGGTGGGCGGGCTACCGGTGCGATGAGTGCGGCAAAGAGTTTGGCAGAAAAAGCGATTTGAAAACCCATCGACAGCTACATGTGTTGAGTGCGAGCGTCCGGTGCGAGTGGCCTGACTGTGACCGGGAGTTCAAGACTAGGAAGTATATGTTGAGACATATGAATGTGCATACGATGGCCAGACCCTACCGGTGCCCGTATGAGGGGTGCGACAAAGTGTACGGCAATCACGGGTCGTATTATTCGCATAAAATGTCTCATAAAAAGTGCAATTAATTGCGAAATTGTGTTATTTATTGATTAATGTAAGAATTTGTGTTATTTGTGAAAGCTTTGTATATAATTTACATTAATTATTAGTTTATATATTGGATTAAAATGTGTAAACTATTTGTGATTTTTATGATTAAAATGTGAATTATTCATAAAATTAGTAATTTTATTTCGAGGCCTTATTTGTATTCATAAAAGTTGTAAACAAATGTAAAATTGATTTTCAAGTGAATTTTTTAGCTATTATAGTACAGTATTAATGATTATTCTTGTGATTAATGATGTATTTTATAACAATAAATCTAAAATAGCTTTTAATGTACACATCATCACTAAATATATGATATACAGTATGAAGAGCTATATTATGCTTACCGTATGCCAGTACTATGAGCTAGGTCTATGAGCTCATATTATCAAATAAAATGCAGAATTATTAAGAATTATTTTGCATAATTTTTATTAATTGTACTTGGTACTTTTAAACATGAGTTTCAAACAATTTCTGACATGCGATGAGACTATTGATGGACAGCACCGATGCGATCACCCGAACTGTTCCCAGAGTTTCCATTATTTGATACAATTATCATTATTAGTCCATAAGATGACATTCAGACGTCAGGAGTCACCACCAGAACAGCTAAGACCTCCTAAGACACCACCGGAACCCCTATCACCTCTACAGATACCCCAGAAACCGCAAATAAATACCATTCCCACAGCTCTACCGGTTGGATATCCCAAGACATCACCGAAACGGGTCCACAAGTGTTCTCTCAACGAATGCCACAAAACGTTCAAAACTAAGAACTCATTGACTGTACACCATATGACACAACATCCCGACGCCTTTCCCCACAAACCATGGCTTCAGTGCTCGCATACGGGCTGTCAGTATAGGACTAAATCCAAGTGCTATTTACTACAACACATGACAACACATAAGCCGAGACCGGTGTCGACCTACCGGTGCGATTGGGACGGGTGTCAGTACGCGACGTTTAGGCGCTCAGACCTCACAAAACATCGGATGATTCACTCAACGGAACGGCAGTTCAAGTATGGAATCAATGACTGCACGCACGACACGAATAATAGATACGATTTGACTCGACATCAACTGACACGACATCCCGACGCCTTTCCGGACATACCGTGGATGGAGTGCTCGCATATGGGCTATCAGTATAGGACCAAACATGCGGAACGACTTAAACTTCACGTGAATTACAACCACTCGAAGCCATACCAGTGCCGGGTGTGCGGGAAGGGGTTCGGGGCGGCATACGTACTCGGGCACCATGAGCACACACACAACCCGGAGCTAAAGATCCGGTGCGAGTGGGAGGGCTGCGACAGACTGTTCGCTCACAGAACTTCGCTGTCGATGCACATGAAAACACATACGGCGCCCGACACGTACCGGTGCTCGTGGCCCGGGTGCGACAAGTCGTGCGCACTGAAGCATAAGCTCTTGAATCACGAGCAGACTGTCCATAAGCCCATTATCTACCGGTGCTCGGAGTGCGGCAAAGAGTTTAACAAAGAGTACGACCTGAGACACCATCAAAAGGTGGTACACGAGCCCACACACCACCCGGAGCTAAAGGTCCGGTGCGAGTGGCATGAGTGCGACCGCGTGTTCAAGGCTCGCAAGTATATGTTGAGGCATATGAATATGCATACGATGGCCAGAACATACCGGTGCCCGTATGAGGGGTACGATAAAGTGTACGGCAATTCTGTGTCCTATTACGCGCATAAATTGTCGCATAAAACGTGCAATTAATGGATAAATTGTTGTGTAATTTATATTTATATATATGAGTGTATAATATACAAAAAGATCAATCGATGAATAAAAATGAATGAC